GGAGGAGTCCGCCGCACAACAACACAGAAACAAAAACAAAATAAGAAAGAAAAGAAAAACCTCGAGAAATAAAAGCTCTACAGTGGCGGGGCCTCCTGCTCTCCAAGGCACAGGGGAAAAGCAAAAAAAAACACGAGAAAATAAACACTTCGGCAGGTTGTGCCCGCCGCCCCGTTTCCAAGGGGAAGCGCGCATAGCACGCAAAAACAAACGACTATTTGTACATCCAGACGTTTTATTGTCGCCGAGCTCGTCGGGAGCTCGCGAAGCGGCGGGGGGCAGAGCCGCGCCCGCCAGCTCCCCAACACGGCCCCTCGCAGAAAACAGGGCTGTTGACGCCTGCAGGAAACAACAATATCTAAAAGTAAGCAAAACGTCCGCCCATTTCTTTGGCCCCCGCTGGCCGCCTGCCCCTCCACAGGACTCCTCGCACGCAAACAAATGCATAAAAAAGGGCGGCGCAACGTGGGACCCCCAAACGCAAAACAGTTTATTTCCAAAGGCGCGGGGGCCGCCACACCGACGCCGCCTGCGGCCCACACGCACGCAATGCGCACGCCGCACCGCGGCCAGGCGGAGCACACTCCCCTCGCGCAGGGAGGAATTCACCCCCGCCACTCTCAGCGCACGCTACGCACGGACTGCGCGGAGGAGTCCGCCGCACAACAACACAGAAACAAAAACAAAATAAGAAAAGAAAAAGAAAAAACCTCGAGAAATAAAAGCTCTACAGTGGCGGGGTCTCCTGCTCTCCAAGGCACAGGGGAAAAGCAAAAAAAAAACACGAGAAAATAAACACTTCGGCAGGTTGTGCCCGCCGCCCCGTTTCCAAGGGGAAGCGCGCATAGCACGCAAAAACAAACGACTATTTGTACATCCAGACGTTTTATGTCGCCGAGCTCGTCGGAAGCTCGCGAAGCGGCGGGGGGCAGAGCCGCGCCCGCCAGCTCCCCAACACGGCCCCTGCAGAAAACAGGGCTGTTGACGCCTGCAGGAAACAACAATATCTAAAAGTAAGCAAAAACGTCCGACCCATTTCTTTGGCCCCCCGCTGGCCGCCTGCCCCCT